TGTACGGCCAACGACTGACCAGCACCACGATGACGTCACCCAGCCTCCACGCCCGTCCACTGCAGCATCACCATTCTGCACCATCCCGAACTACCGACCGCATTACGAGTCCTCTACCGGTTGACGTAAGTACCGGCGGAGCCTTCAAGCCGGACGTGCGCGAATAGTAGAAGCAATGGCTTAGGTTTATAGAATTTTGCTGGGGGAAAATTAAATACATTTGAGAAAAAAATTGGGAGGTTAATATTGAAATGGATGCTTTAAAACTTATTTTGTACTGACCCAGGAAGTTTGTGACGTTTCGAAGGTCGTTGTTGCACTGACGTGGTCTGTTGCCATTGTTGTGCTACGAATGCCATTAGGTCGTTATTGCGCGAATGTGATGCAAGGGGCCATTGTTGGGAATCTGTTGGTTTAAAGAACGAGGCATTAGGTCCCATTGTTGCAAAGAACGTGATGGGCGGACAGAAAACATTACGCTAACGAAGAGTGTGAACGTGATTCATCCTTGGTGATTTGTTTTGCTGTGTCGATGATAGTGGCGGCGGACGTGTCAGCCAGTCGAACTACTTCGTGCAGTTGTAAACGAAACTGCGAGAGAAATACAGAAATAGCTGTTTTGCAATGAAATGCTCTGCGTCTTCGAAGTAGAAGGGGCGATTGCAGAACGGAACTTACACACTCGGTACGATAAATGCAAAGAGTACTGGAGGAAAAATACTCCACATCATCAGATTTTTCACACGCGTGAAGGTTTATATTTCGAAACGTCATTTGATTTGCTTAATGACTCACCCGATATACCCATTGTTCGGGAATCAGTTTGTGAATTAGGGGCAAAGATCATAATTAGTTTGCTTTAAAATCACAAGAGGTCGTTGTAGCGAAATAAATCGCGTTGTGAAACCAGAATGAACTCAGTAATGGCAGACTTTGTAAGTACCAGGTGCAGTGTCCACCATTGTGACCTTCGAACCACGAAGATTTTTGTCGTCTGAATGTTTTGACTTCCAGTGGCGTAGTTTCTGTGTCGCGTAGAATAAATATTTTGTAAAATGGTTTCGAGACTGGATGGCGCGTTCCCAGGTTGCTGGAGAATATATTTTGACGGATAAATCGCGGACAGCCGACAGGGGGTGCTACTACAGATTGGGGGGGGGGTTGGTTTGAGGTACTTTTGCGATCAGCACAAAAAGATGTCTCTACGTAGGCGAATCGCACAGTTCTGCCCCGACTACAGCATGTTTTAGTTTGTTTATTAACAGCTTTGTGATGTGACAGTGAGGAACTCGGCGCGCACATTTATCTTTGAGTACAAAAGTCAGGAATTCTCCGTTGTCTGACGTATATTTAGTATACGTGACGTTTCGGTAGTTGGCTCAACTTCAGATGATTGGTTATCATTATACAGGTTATCGGATGGTCACGTAACCATTAATATATTTGTTAATAGTTGTGATTCGGCATAATTCGATTAGATCGATAATCGCACGATATCGATATGACAATGCAATAGCCCACGGATAGTCGTAAATATGTCCTTGAATTCCGTGTACGAACAGTTTTATAAAATTTCGAAACCACTGCATTTTCGAAAGCGTTTTAAATTTATGCGCGTATCAAAATTTATATTTTGTTTTACGTAAATTTTATATATATATTTTTTTTTGTAAAACAAACGAATGATATTAATTTAAAAGTACCGTACTCTTATTTTAAAATTTTAGTTTTATTTTATAATCAGAATGTGCCTCGGAATAAATTAATATCCTAGTGTCCAGCGATTTTTAAAATGCTTTAAAATCTTTAGCAGGACGTGGACCGCGTGTCTCGTCGTTGCTCAGAAGTTGTTTCCGTCTTTCAGCACGAGAAGAGACGACAGATGGAATGCCAACGCGTCCACACGCTGAGACTCATGCTCGAGAAGGAACAACGATACGTCGACGCCCTCCGGAGCGAACTCGCGAAGTCCAACGAACCGAAGCTCCACCAGGAATTAACAGGGGCGGAGCGCAGAGTACGGACGCTACAGGACCAGTTGGTTACCCTCACAATGCACGCCGAGCACGAGGTAGGGACGCCTTCGAAATAAATCCCCATTTACCTTAGCCTTAGAAAGTTTTTCATTCTGTGTTTCGTCGTATCTTAACGAATAATGTGGTTGAGAATTTGCACAGTGAATTTCTTCAACTGCGAGAGGAAATTTCGTGTTCCCGTTCGAGCTGACGTGTATTTGTTTGCTACAGAATTTGTCAACAATAGCCCAACTCCGTGACTAGTATAGACTGTGATTGTCATGAAAATGTCTGTGCATTATTGCAACAAGTTTCATTGCCTGTTCAGGAAACCTTAATTACGTTATCGAAATTCTTCAACAATGGAAATGCTATAAATTACTATTTCGTTCTGTAATGTCGCAGATACAAATCAGTTCTCTACTTTCCCCCCTTAGATTGTTCTCGAGTGTTCACTGTTTCGCATGAAAACGTTCCGTATGACACACGGAGGGAGGTCTCGCTGAAATCTGTCGTGGGGGCAAAACCATATAACAGCTTGGCCTTCGCTGTTTGTTGTTACGCAATTCGTGCGATAAGGAAGGCGAGTGTAGCCGACTTGACTGGGTCGGTTCTGCCAGCTGGAGTATAAACCTGCTGGAGTCTGTGACATCATTGCCAACAGTCGGCAAACAGCTTACGTCACAAAGACAGTTATAGACCCTGACGATCAGTCAAGTGTCGGAAGATGTTTTGCGGCGGGGAAGTTGAGAACCTGTTCCCGCTGGGTTCACACTGGCACGCGTTATGACCAGAGGCCCCGAACGTGGCTACCAGTAGCTCGCCAGTGCGTCTGTGACTGTCTTGAGCGAGATCTGTCCACGTTTCTTAAGATTCATTCAACATAACCGGCACCTAAAAACTTATTTTCATTAAAATTGCGTGTCATAGTTTCAGATTCCCAACCCAAAAAGCACCATAGTGTGACCCGGGCCCGCATAAAGATTACGGAATTTTCACACGTTAATTGATTTTTTACACTGTCGTCGGAAATATCAAGGCTTCTTACGTTTTGCTGCTGACAAATTAGAAATTTTAGCAAATCATTATACTAGCCTCAATTTCTGACTTGTTTTTTCCATCAACAAGGAAAACTTACATTGCGTGTGGCCACGACGAGGAAACGAGAACCCACCTCAGGCTACTTCAAGGTTGCCCGTGCCGAAAGTCGAGCTTTATTTCCTGTTATCTGTAATTTGCTTATCTCACGGCGGTGAGTACGAAAATGGCCGTCTTCTGTAGTCTGGTAGTTTTGTCTCGCTTGTTTCTGCCGAACTCTGGGTAATTGAGTGACCATCCTCATGTCAATTTGAGGTCACGGATAGGTCGAGGTCATGTGAAGGTCACGACAATATCAGTCCAAGGGTTTGCAGAATAGAGGCCTTTGAAATTTTCAAGGTCATTTCGCGTTGATTTTTTCCTCATGCTTATTTCTGCTGAACTGTTGGTATCAGGGTGACCATACTCATGGCAATTTGAGGTCACAGCTAGGTCGAGGTCATGTGAAAGTCACGACAATATCAGTCCAAGGGTTTGCAGAATAGAGGCCTTTGAAATTTTCAAGGTCATTTCGCGTTGATTTTTTCCTCATGCTTATTTCTGCTGAACTGTTGGTATCAGGGTGACCATACTCATGGCAATTTGAGGTCACAGCTAGGTCGAGGTCATGTGAAAGTCACGACAATATCAGTCCAAGGGTTTGCAGAATAGAGGCCTTTGAAATTTTCAAGGTCATTTCGCGTTGATTTTTTCCTCATGCTTATTTCTGCTGAACTGTTGGTATCAGGGTGACCATACTCATGGCAATTTGAGGTCACAGCTAGGTCGAGGTCATGTGAAAGTCACGACAATATCAGTCCAAGGGTTTGCAGAATAGAGGCCTTTGAAATTTTCAAGGTCATTTCGCGTTGATTTTTTCCTCATGCTTATTTCTGCTGAACTGTTGGTATCAGGGTGACCATACTCATGGCAATTTGAGGTCACAGCTAGGTCGAGGTCATGTGAAAGTCACGACAATATCAGTCCAAGGGTTTGCAGAATAGAGGCCTTTGAAATTTTCAAGGTCATTTCGCGTTGATTTTTTCCTCATGCTTATTTCTGCTGAACTGTTGGTATCAGGGTGACCATACTCATGGCAATTTGAGGTCACAGCTAGGTCGAGGTCATGTGAAAGTCACGACAATATCAGTCCAAGGGTTTGCAGAATAGAGGCCTTTGAAATTTTCAAGGTCATTTCGCGTTGATTTTTTCCTCATGCTTATTTCTGCTGAACTGTTGGTATCAGGGTGACCATACTCATGGCAATTTGAGGTCACAGCTAGGTCGAGGTCATGTGAAAGTCACGACAATATCAGTCCAAGGGTTTGCAGAATAGAGGCCTTTGAAATTTTCAAGGTCATTTCGCGTTGATTTTTTCCTCATGCTTATTTCTGCTGAACTGTTGGTATCAGGGTGACCATACTCATGGCAATTTGAGGTCACAGCTAGGTCGAGGTCATGTGAAAGTCACGACAATATCAGTCCAAGGGTTTGCAGAATAGAGGCCTTTGAAATTTTCAAGGTCATTTCGCGTTGATTTTTTCCTCATGCTTATTTCTGCTGAACTGTTGGTATCAGGGTGACCATACTCATGGCAATTTGAGGTCACAGCTAGGTCGAGGTCATGTGAAAGTCACGACAATATCAGTCCAAGGGTTTGCAGAATAGAGGCCTTTGAAATTTTCAAGGTCATTTCGCGTTGATTTTTTCCTCATGCTTATTTCTGCTGAACTGTTGGTATCAGGGTGACCATACTCATGGCAATTTGAGGTCACAGCTAGGTCGAGGTCATGTGAAAGTCACGACAATATCAGTCCAAGGGTTTGCAGAATAGAGGCCTTTGAAATTTTCAAGGTCATTTCGCGTTGATTTTTTCCTCATGCTTATTTCTGCTGAACTGTTGGTATCAGGGTGACCATACTCATGGCAATTTGAGGTCACAGCTAGGTCGAGGTCATGTGAAAGTCACGACAATATCAGTCCAAGGGTTTGCAGAATAGAGGCCTTTGAAATTTTCAAGGTCATTTCGCGTTGATTTTTTCCTCATGCTTATTTCTGCTGAACTGTTGGTATCCGGGTGACGATACTCATGGCAATTTGAGATCACAGATAGGTCGAGGTTATGTGAAGGTCACGACAATATCAGTCCAAGTGTTTGGGGAATAGAGGCCTTTGAAATTTTCAATTTCATTTCGCGTTGATTTTTTCTCATGCTTATTTCTGCTGAACTGTTGGTATCCGGGTGACGATACTCATGGCAATTTGAGATCACAGATAGGTCGAGGTTATGTGAAGGTCACGACAATATCAGTCCAAGGGTTTGCAGAATAGAGCCCTTTGAAATTTTCAAGGTTATTTCGCGTTAATTTTTTCTCATGCATATTTCTGCTGAACTGTTGGTATCCGGGTGACGATACTCATGGCAATTTGAGATCACAGATAGGTCGAGGTTATGTGAAGGTCACGACAATATCAGTCCAAGGGTTTGCAGAATAGAGCCCTTTGAAATTTTCAAGGTTATTTCGCGTTAATTTTTTCTCATGCATATTTCTGCTGAACTGTTGGTATCCGGGTGACGATACTCATGGCAATTTGAGATCACAGATAGGTCGAGGTTATGTGAAGGTCACGACAATATCAGTCCAAGGGTTTGCAGAATAGAGCCCTTTGAAATTTTCAAGGTTATTTCGCGTTAATTTTTTCTCATGCATATTTCTGCTGAACTGTTGGTATCCGGGTGACGATACTCATGGCAATTTGAGATCACAGATAGGTCGAGGTTATGTGAAGGTCACGACAATATCAGTCCAAGGGTTTGCAGAATAGAGCCCTTTGAAATTTTCAAGGTTATTTCGCGTTAATTTTTTCTCATGCATATTTCTGCTGAACTGTTGGTATCCGGGTGACGATACTCATGGCAATTTGAGATCACAGATAGGTCGAGGTTATGTGAAGGTCACGACAATATCAGTCCAAGGGTTTGCAGAATAGAGCCCTTTGAAATTTTCAAGGTTATTTCGCGTTAATTTTTTCTCATGCATATTTCTGCTGAACTGTTGGTATCCGGGTGACGATACTCATGGCAATTTGAGATCACAGATAGGTCGAGGTTATGTGAAGGTCACGACAATATCAGTCCAAGGGTTTGCCGAATAGAGACCTTTGAAATTTCAAGGCCACTTCAAGGGGTCGTTTTGGAATCTCCTTTTTAAGAGGGCTTTCGGTTACAGTAAATCTGACAGCTGACGCATCAACCGGATGCTGTCACCAAGATCATGATATAGAAGGCATTTTTTTGTAAATCGTGATTTCAGTACATGAACATAAAAGTTCCTTTAGCCAAAAGCTGCAATGGAACGGTAATTTATAAATTTAAATAAAGGACCTAGGCGATGAGCTAAACAATGGAGAGACTTATGAACACGAGGAAAGGAAGTTAATGGCGCATTTACATAAGAGCTTGTAAGTTTCAGGCATTGTTTTTGCAGTGTTTTGATGATGCATTGTTCTGATAGTCTCTCCTCGTGGTTTCATAACAACATTTCCTTATGCGCATTTTCGTGTGCGCTGACAAAGTTCATTTTCCGCGTCTCGGTCTTCGAGTTAATTGCCTCGAACGCCGAAAGAATGCGCTTGAACCTATTTAATATCCGAACACTTTTCCACAGTCCCAGCTGTTTCAGCCCACGTGGACATGTAGGGCCCTTATAGGGGAACCTGATTCCACTCCGGGTGCCACACCCGTTGGAGACTTACGGTAGAAAACTTATTTTTTCGTGATCACGTCGCTTTATACCTCACGGCTTTATTTATCGTATGGAACAGTTCGGAATACGACGGGGAAAATTGTGATCAGCTGTTTGAAATGTGGTCTAGCGGTTAGAACGCTGGCCTTGTAATCCTGGGGTGTCGGGTTCGAATTTATAACTTGCGTTGGGCAAGGCCGTGGTCTAGGCAACACGAAGTTTTCCTCCGTGGC